ATATAAATGATATATATATATGTGTATATAAATAAAGAAAAGAGAAGGTGACATATATATATATATATATATATATTTATATATAGTAAGTATTTTAAAAAAAATATATATATATATATATATATATATATATATATATATATATATATATATATAATTATTAAATTTACCTAAATATCTTCTAAATAAATCCAAATATTATTATTAATTAAAGTTCCAACCATTTTTTCTTTGATTATTGATCAATATAGATGCTGCAATATAAGAATGTTTTAATGATGGTTGAAATATGTGGGTTGATTTAATAATTGCTTTGATAAATTTAATAATTATATATATATATATATTATTTTAGTTATTTGGATAATAAAAATATTATAATTAATTTTAAATTATTTATTTTAAATTATTATTTAATGATTAAATTAATTTTATAAATATAGATATTTTATTACAATATCAATAGTTAATTTTATATTGGCATATAGAATGAAGAAAGTATAAATATTAATATTGAAATTTATACATATGATAAGAAATATTTAACCTAGTTAGTAATAAAAACTAAGATCCAAATTACATCATATGCTTCTATAAATTTTAAGAAATGTTATGATACATGACACAATTTTAAGACTACAAACAAGATTTGAAACAAATGTTATTTAATTTTCAAATAAATTTGCTACTATTTAATTATTTTTTATTTAAATAATTTAAAGAAATAAAAAATAGAACAATCTATTTCAACCACTTTGTACAACATTACACACCAAACTTATTAATTATTAAATAAATTAGAGATAACTTTTAAGTTACAATTCTATTATAGAAAAAAAAAAAATGTTTATCTAAGTAGAAATAGAATTCATTCTAATTTTTTAATATTTTTTGTATACAAAACAAAAGTTAAACATTAAAATTGTTGTTTTTCTTTTATGATAATATCTTTTAAAGAATCTAGTGAACATTCATTTTTTATTTTTTGTTTTTTGTTTTTTGTTTTTCTTTCTTTCTACCCCTTCATCCTAAATCCTAAATGATTCAAATAATACAATGAATAGAAAATTGGTAATATTTGGCATATTATTATTACAAGGATATGTAAATAATTTTAAAATGTTAAAAGACCTAGATTTAGCAATAAGAATAATTACTGAATATATTAACATAGATAAGAATTAATAACACAATTATTATTATTATTATTATTATTATTATTAATAGTCTCAATAATACCTTGCATGAAACAAGATCAAGGATGCAAATACAATAATACACAACTTTTAGGAACTTCAAGAACAATAGGGTATAATATTATTTTAGATTAAATGTTATCATTAAAATGATGAAAATTGCTTTGTTATTAATGTAGTACCAAACTAAATTTAAACAAAGCACACAACAAGTATATATTAGATTTGCATCTCTATTGACTTATTCATCAATCATTCAATTTATTCTGTAGCATCAATTAGTTAGAGTGATGTATAAAAATACTCTTAATGATACTTTAGAGGTGTTTAATGCTTTTTGTAGAAAATAACATGAACAAAAAGATTTAATTCTTTATATAGAGAAAACTATGGTTGAAGTATAATGAAATAGAGAATTAATTATGACTAACTAATTAAAATCAAATTGTTCCATGAGATATTTTATTACATAACAAAAGTCTTCAAATTTCATTTAGGAATACATTAATATTTGAAACTACTTTTTTTTTTCTTTCTTATGAAAACTATACTTAAATATTTATAAAATAAAAAATAAAAATTAGAGTGTTAATAAGACTCAATTAATTATATGTTTTTTTCTCGTATTTCAAAAATTGTGGCATCCTAGAATCAAACTAAAGTCTAGTATAAGCCTATAATTAAATTAAAGGAGTTGTTGTCTTTTTTAATTACTTCATAATAAGTGTAGTTATTCAAGAAGCTTTATCTCTTTTGATACATGCAACTTATTAATTGGTGTCTAACTACTTTAAAAATGACAAGGTGAAAAAAACCAACAAATACATTTGAAAAGAGAATTGAACACCATAAAATACATTAATTTTTTTAAAAGCCTTAAAACATTATACACATTGTTTAATAGATAAAAGAAGGCTTGCAATGAACAAAGAATCAAAATAGAAAAAAGATCCTTAGAAGAGGCTTATACTAGACTTTACTTTGATTTTATGCTAATATAAAAATCTAAAAATAATTTATAAAGTATCAAAATATCTACTTACTTTGAAAAACACAAAATAAAAGGCAATCAAAAAATAAAAAACTCCTTTCAATATGAAATATTCTATTTGAAGTTGCAATCACAATCATCTCTTATATTTGTGATCAATTCTTAGTTACTTCTTACCTTTTTCCAAAAAAAACATATATTTCAATTCCACTCATTAATACATTAAAAGTTTAATAAAACTAAATTCTAGTTACGTGCAATTATGTTCATTTTGTTGATGAAGTTTATTTTTATTATCATCGTTATTCTCACAAGGCATTGACATTAAACAAATGTTGACAAAAAGCAAAAATAAAACAAAAATATGGTATCTTCTTTGACTCATCCTTTGACTTCAAAACAAATGGTGTGAACTTTAACGACAAGGAAGTCAAAGATAAGAAAATATTTACGGGCATTCACATTTGTAGGTCAATCCACTTTCTTCTTATATGGTTGAGAAAAAAGGACTTAGAATCCAATAATATCCCCCTTGTGAACACTCTCTCTTGTGCGGTGTGAAAGCGATCCAATTCGAATCCCTTTTCCCCACGTGGAATCGGATGACGAAACCCCGCACTACGTCGCTGCGGTGTGAACCCGAACCTCTCTCCCCCACCCCCCCCCCTCTATCGTGCATTAGGCTTCAGAATGTGCGACTCGAAACTCTCTCGACGGGCTATGGCCGCGAGGACATGCCTCGATGCCCGATCATCGCACCAAAACGGGGTCGATAATGTGGAGTAGCGGTGTGTAACGAAGCCCAACAGTGGCGCATTTGAGATACATTCTATGAGCTGCGCAGATTGCAGCTGTGTCGTTGTGAGAGAATGGTGGGAATTATGAGTGTGCTGTGGGGGATTTGAGACGGACCGTCGTCGCGCACTCAGTTTCATGGGTAGCGGGGCTGGTCATCACGGCGTCACGGACGTTTCCTTCGTATTAAATTTAGAGTGCGAGGCGTTTTAGGTCACCAGTGTGTCTAGGTGCGGTGCGGTGCGTTTGGGTTTGGTTTTTCACTTTGTTGGGTACCATATGTTTCTACGGAAGCGCGGAAGCTCCTGGTCTGGGCTTGCGGGTGGTGGAAGTGTTGCTGCTGGCTCTGGAGTCTGGGTCTGGACTGTTGGGGAAGGCTTCTTCATGTGGCGGTGGTGGTGATGGTGATAGTGGTTCTTCTGGCATGACACTTTGATGGATCGTCATGGATGGGGCTCACCAGGTGTGTGTGTGCTTTTACTTTGGTGACTGGTGTGCTGTAGCACCTGCGGGTTCGAAGTTTGTCACGGATGGGGCGTGGTGAGGATAAGACCTTGATGTTTGTAGTGGTTGATCTTTGTAGAAGATTTTGAATTGGAGGGGGAGCCCTTGTTGAGGAATATGGGAAGGGATGTGGTGGTGGAAATGGTAGTAGCGCCAGTGTTAGGTTGGGGAGGTTTCTATGTTTAGGGTTGGTTTACTGTGGTCTGTATTGACATCGCTGTTTCGCGCACCTTCCTGTGCGACTTTTTGACTGAATGCGTGTAGGTATTGTGAAATTGCGAATGCAAAGCCCATTAGGTGAACTTTGCCGCAGCTGGTTGGGCAAAGATATGATGACTGGGTTTCTGTTTCTGATTGAGACACTGGGAAGTCGTGATGTGTGAATGTTACGCATAATGAAGAATATTAATCTTCCTCAGGGAACATATTTGTGGTGTGTGTGTGAAAGAGAGTGCGCGTTTTGAGAGGGGCGCTCAATATTTATCGCTATTTTCATAAATCCAGGTTACATTCTGTTTGCAATTGCGGTTTGGTTTTAAATTTTGTGCTTTGGGGTGTCTGGTTGGACAGCAACACAAGCTTCATCCCTTTTATGACTTGCATTCACAGCTGCTGCCCCAGAGCGGCAATGGCCACAACTATGGGCATAAAACCGTGTCTATGCCAGGTGCCACATCGGGGTTTCTGCCAACTACTGTGGCACCAAGTGTGCTACCCAGAGTGCCTGTTGTAAATCATTGCTCTAACGTTTTATATCGAAAAATACGTCCATCAGATCTATCAGTATTGCAGGAGATGCATGAAGCGCTATTTCCTATCAAGTATGCACAATGATCCTTTTTTTTTTTTTTTTTTTTTTTTTTTTTAGTTTTTTTGTAACATAGATTAATTTCAAGATTTTCTGAATAGATTTTCTGGTTCATACATCTTACTGGTCTTACTCTGGTAAGGTTTTAATTATTTTATCAGCCAAGAAGTTACAAATTTGTCGCTACCGCGTTCCTTGCCTTGTATAAATAGGCCCACTTCCATACCAAATTGCTATAATTTGTCTTAGTCATGGTGGAACAAATTAAAAGTAAGAAACGATTTAGGTCCTCGCCTCTTCTACTCTCGGTCGGTCGAATTTACGCTCCTCTGATATGAAGCATCTTAAGAAAGTTGCGCGGTTTCGAGAGAGATTTTGTACTAGTGTACTGTTGTGTCTTTACGACTTGGTACATGTAGGTGACTTTAGGCCTAATCGTGATAAAGGTTTGGTTGTGCAGATATGAAACTGAGTTCTTCATTAACGTTGTTCACGGGCGAGGAATTATATCATGGGCAGCTGTGGACAGAAGTAGGTCTGACTCACACTGTGACGAAATTATTGGATTTGTCACAGCGCGAGTTATTGCCGCTTCGGAGGGCGAGGTGGGTGCTCAGACCTCAAACAAAGGCTTTGCTATAGTACACATTTTCTCAGTATCTATGTGAAGCTCACCATGGATATATGCTCTCAATTCGAGAGCTCATGTGCGTTAGCCGAAATACCTTTCCTGCACATTGTTAGGTTAAAGTGGTTGTTTGTGAAGCTGATTGTGAACGTTCTTATGTGGGGCCATTTTCTGCAGGAATTGGACATGTTAGGTTATGAGATTTCCAAAACAGAGAGATCTCTTATCTACATCTTGACGTTAGGTGTCATTCAGCCGTACAGAAACTCTGGCATTGGTATTATTCTGACCACTTGGAAAGGAATCTTATATTGATCTTCATGGCAATACTTTTGAGTCAACTTGTCTGTAGCTCTCAGAGTATGTTGTCCGGTCTTCACTAGGATGCAACTACTATTGTCATGTTTGTGCCTGGTATTCTTCAAAATTGTGAAATCTTTGTGATTGACATGGGTGCTGATTTTAGCCGTACTTGTCGTGGGTTGCAGCATCGGCGTTGCTCTGGGAGGTGATAGAGTATGCGAACCAGATGTCGTCATGTAGAGCTCTTTATCTGCATGTTATAGCTTATAATCGTCCTGCTATTATGTTCTACCAGAAGAACATGTTTCAGTGCTTGCGCAGGCTCCACAACTTCTATACCATTGAAGGACAAAACCACGATGCTTTTCTCTATGTCTTCTATGTGAATGGTGGTCGCTCCCCTTGCACAGCCATGTACGTGCCACCATCTTCCTCAGTATTGTCTGAGAATCTCTTGGTTCCATGTAGTAATATAGTAAAGCAGTGGTCGCCATGAAATTAGGGTCATGGTTATTGCTCGTCTGCTGCTAGGTTCAGAGGTCAAATTCTGAAACCGTTTGGTTCTTGCAGAGATGCCCTTAAAGCAGCCTTTGCATATGTGAGGGGATACTTCACGTCAATGGTGGCTAAATTATTTTGAAGAATAAGGATGTCCAGTGGCGCTTTGCAATAATACAAGCTGAAAACTCAGACGTGATTTATTTATGGTGTGTGCTTGCTAGTTTAGAGAGTAATTGGTAGCATAGTTTGTGAACGAACATTTGCCATTTTTTTCCTCCTTTTTCCTTCTTATTTTCTTTCTTCAATCTTTGCCTCAAGGATGGACAGGATTTGTGGAACTTTAACTACGCGTTAGTGCTGTATTGTATCCCATCTTCGTTTGTGAGGGCAGGGATAATGAAGTATGAAGAGAAAAGTTGCTGATCTTATCAATGACTCAATTTGGATATCATAGTTACAACCAATAATATCAATTGATTTCTACATGTTAACGGTAATTAAGAGGCAGAAGTTCTGAAATATTTTGAAAGAAATGTTTATCTCGCTCATTACGTGAAATTGTCTTTTACTTTCCCAACCTATAAGGCCTCTGTCTATTTTCTGCTTCAATAGCTCCGATCTAAAGCTTGGAGCCAGGAAGTAGAAGTTTCACTTACCTTGCACTTCTACTTCTACTCCTATTCTTCAGCTAATTAGCAATCTTCCGAACCACAATTTGTGACATGTCGGTTCCAAGTTCGTGCACGAGAAGTAAAGCTTATATTCATGCCATTTGGGTAGTTTACTGCAACATTCTTACATCATCTTTCGAAGATTCAGCACAGTTTCGTCGAGTGGTTCTTATTGAGGATTTTGGGAGATTTTGTCCTGGGTCTGACAATGACAATTACGGAGTCCTGGATACCGGGAGCCGTCTTGAACAGAGGTTTAGCTGTGCGTAGGCTGTTGGAGGAGTCTTGGAGTTTTTGCCAATTTGAAGCGAAGAGTGAAGGCCTGGCGATGGAGTGTATTGAAAAGGTGGCGAGGATAAAGGAGAAAAGCGTCGTGAGGTTTAGACCCATTTCAGTAATCGCGTCTGTATGTTCGTCCATTTGTGCTGCATGGAATGTATCTGCGCGGGACCAGGTGCCTACTCCTCGGCAGAAGCGGTTCCCTCAAAATGTTAGGGTCTATGGCCACTAGGACTGTTGGAGACGTGCACTCGACGACCGACTGGTTGGAGGATGGCGTGGTGCGCTATTTCAGTGACTCGATTCACAGGTATTGTGAGAGGGGTGGGCATCTGTTAAGCAAAAGCTAGGTACGAAGCTGGCTGAGGGTGAGAATGGAGAAGTGGCTGATTCGAAACTAGAAGAGGTAGAGAATGCGATGCACAATGAAAAGAAGCATAATTACTGTGTCGATGCTTAGGAGTGATACTGGACGGGGTCACTGTGCGTTTGCGAAAGTTTCCGAGGCCACTTTCGAGCTTAATTATCGTAATGAATTCAATGTTGGGAATACTTTGCCCTTTTTTTTATTTTTGCAGTTGTCATGCTATGAGTTTGATGAATCTTTACAAGTTTCCACAGGGTCAAGAATGTTTAATATGCCTATTGTTCAAGAGCGAGAGTATTTATAACCTCTTTCGCGACCTCTTCATGCAATTGCGATGCAGTTCTCCACTTCGTGTTTGACCTAGGATCCTTTATTGATTTGTCGAGTTCTCCCCTGCGTGATATTCTCCTTAACAAACCCAACAGAATCAGACGAGTCTAAAATTGTTCGACATCGGCCCGAAATCTCGCCTCAATTTTTCGAACCTTGAAGTTCGTGTCCCTGCGACTACGCAAACTCTTTGTCATGAACGTCTGGTGGTAACATCCACTGATAGTTTCCGGAGATCTGAAAGTTCAATTGTGACATTCTGATTTGATTTAAGGTTCCCTTCTTCCTAGAAAAGTTGTTAATCAAGCTTAGCTTAAAGTTGCAGAAATGATGACGAGAGTACCAATATTTAATGGTTTTATAGCTGGACCAAGTAAAATGTTATCATTTTTCACCGCTCCATTTAATTTCTTGCTTTGATCTTGGTTAACTACACATATAATAGCCGGGAAATGAAAAAAATAATTGCGGGGGAAGTGTATAGGGGAAAATATCTTCAAAACAAAAGGTGCAGTTCCAGAATGATCAGAGGATTTATCATCCTGTGTTTCCAAAGATCCCTAAAATTGTCAAGTGGCGCTATATGAAGTAATTGTAAGTCATAGTATTCTCACAGGTGTCACTATTCTATATTTGCATGAAGTTGGAAACGCATCTATTGTTAAGGAGAATGGCGACGGCACATTCAGCGAGAAACCTTGAAGCTTTGGAGCTATTGCAGACTATTTTGACACCAATGCTGATTGGCTCAATAAGATGGTAAAGCGATGTAAGAAAGTTAGCACAACCGTTTACTGTCTTCGAAATGGCGCAAGCTTTAGATGACATGGTGCGTAACTACGAAAGTATCCTTAACACTTGAACTTTAGTTACCAAGGCCTGATTCGAGTCTTGCCTGTTTGGATTTATCCATGCTGTGATGTAGGTCCCACTCGTTTTAGTGAGTTTCCTTAAACCATTAATGGCAGATTCGTCACTTCGCCTCAACATTTGTCTTTGAGTGCTTGTTTCCTGAACGAGAATTGTAGTAGAGTACTGATTGTTGTACGATGCAGTCTTAACTGTAGCGGATGTGAGACTCTGAAAATGATTTCGAAGAAAATGCAGACAAAGAGACGGGACAATTCGTTCTTTTTTCCTTTGTTTGGCCAGGTCAATTCAGAGTTTCTTCTCAGGAAGTAAATAAACAATTTTCTTCTATGGATACTCTTTTGATCAACCAGCTCTGTATCTCACCCCATCCCAGGGTCAGATTCGGCCTAGAAAAGAAATCTCCAAATTTTTTTGAGAATTTTTTAGTAGCTAACACGGTTTCGGATATCTGGCGGAGTATCCGAAACCATCATAACCTATCTTCAGATACATAACCGGGGGCTAGGTCAGGTTCGGTCGAATCTGGCTCGTGAACGTCTGTGCAATCAAATCCAGTGTTCTAGGAAAAAGATTTTGAAGTCCAATTTCGAAGCACGATGGGCTTTTGAAGTGAGTTCAAATGCTAAGACTTATACTTTTATTTTAGTTTTGTAAAGCGATTCAACGTTGGCAATTTAACGATGCCATGCCTGGAGTTGCATCGCACAATGCATGGAATGACGTGGACGGAATTACGGCGGTCGGGGTCGCACCCCATGACCGCCTGCTTTGCCGGGACTCTGTCCTTGCCTCGCGATCTCAGCCAAAGCATGCGAGCTAAGCGGAGCCGCCTCAGCTGAAGCCATTTTCCGTTCTGCGGGGTTCCGTTTGAGGCGAAGTCAATGCCTGGCTTCAATCGGTCACGGCCTCGGTTGTCGTTTCAGGAGGGTCGCGAGTGTCTAAAAACTTCCGTCGGGAAAACTTATTCTGTAGTTGCGTTGCGATTTTATTTTTATGACATTGTCTTCTCGTCTGGAGTCTTGCAAACACATCCCCCCCCCCCCCCCGCGCTTTAATACGGCGTGGTGTGCTGGTTTTTCTTGTATAGTGTTGAGATTTTTCACTAGTTGTTACTTTTTTATTTATAATTTTGTAAGCGATCGATTGTTAGAGGAGGAGTGTATTTTGGTGGTGAGGTCGTGTTGAAGGAGAGAAGGAGGGAGGCAGGGAGAGAGAAAGGGAGCTCAGAGGTGGTATCAAGTTGATTGAGGTCTGAGTGGGTTTTAGAGTCTTGTAGCCATGGCTGCGACGAATGCCGTGATGTCTGCTAGCATCGCGAGCTCGGTTTCGAGCTTGAAGAAGTTGAATTCGATCCCGGGGAGTTTGCAGCAATCTATGGTGTTAGAATTAAAGGTCAAGGAGAGTGTGCAGAGGTCATCCCAGGGGCAGAGGGTGCTAATCGCTGGCGTTCGCGGTATGGCACCCGAATTGGTCGAGATGAAGCCCGCATCTGAGGGGAGCCAGCTTTTAGGTGATGAATATGATCAGTTATTTTCACGCACATCGTCTTTTCTTTGCATAAATTGTTGAGTGATTTATGTGTGGATTAATTTCATTTGGTTTTCATGTTTCTCGACTTAGCTGATAGTGTTCATCTCGCGCTTTGAGAAACCAGCGTCTCCTTTTCTGCTCTCTGTTCGACGGCGGGGAATGATTACATTTCTTTAAATGTGAACGAACTAAGAACAAGAATTGATAACTATCTTTTATTCATTAATTTCTCCAAGGTTTTCAAAATTTTCAGTTAGAGAACTCGGGATGTTAACGACTCCACAGTGGGAGCAGTGCATGCTGCACAATTTCGATGACGACTGCTGCCTGGTGCAGCATTGGGTTCAGTAATGGTGAATTTATCTTTGAGTTTCATCGTTTCACTCGAATTTGATAGAAAAGCAATTCTAGTGCTCAGCTTGGACAGCTTGCTTATCTCGACGGTTTGGGCGTCAACCTTGATTAAATTAGACCGAGAGCATTGAGCATCTCCACGATTTTTGGGATCCTGATCGCAGACTTAGTGGAGGTATAGAGACCAAGAAATATTGGACTCCGATTGGAGTCCAATATTTCAGAGCATGCATCTATCATTGTCCGGAAACAGTTACAGTACTTTCTAATAATATTAATACATAGAGGAAACTCCGAGGGTATTAAAAGTATTTTTTGTAATTCAAAATAAAATAAAATCTATAAATTAAATAGAATGAGAATTTAGTAATATAAAATTTTAACTGTTGTTATTTTGACTTATGGGTAAATGGTTGAGGAGATTCCAACTGGATTTTTTTACATAGTTATTCTTCTTTCAGTTTGCTAACACTTGCGATGAAATTGTCTCCTGTGTGAGCAGTTCCTCGGAAAAAGTACTGTGAATCAATTTACAAGCCTATTAGAAGGAAGACAAGGACGGTGAACGTTGGTGGAGTGACTGTGGGCAGTGAGCATCCGATTAGAGTGCAAACAATGACGACCACGGACACAAAGGATGTCCAGAGGACTGTGGAGCAGGTGCTTATTCATCTGTCTACTTTTGAGCCATTCTTAAATTATATGTTTGGTAAAACTCGTCTGTTTTCCTAGTTAAATGATATGAATTAACTGGAAAATGCATTTTTCCATGAGCTTAGGTGATGAGAATTGCAGACAAAGGATGTGACATTGTGCGGATTACGGTCCAAGGGAAAAAGGAGGCTGATGCTTGCTATAGTATCAAGAACACTCTTGTGCAGAAAGGGTGCTGCCTTCTACATTAGCCTGGGTCGTCAAGTCTTCGGCAAGCTTTTCTTTGTGTATCCATAGTGTTACTTTTATTGATGCCGCTGCAGTGAACTGGTTGGTGGCAACTGTCGGAGCTCATTATGATGAATGTTCCACAGATATGCATTGAACCAACACATCTACTTTCTAACTTGGCAATAAACACATTGAGGCTTGCAGGTACAATATACCTCTGGTTGCAGATATTCATTTTGCACCTCCAATTGCGATGAAAGTTGCCGAATTCTTCGACAAGATTCGTATCAACCCTGGCAACTTTGGTATGTGCATTTGGTTGTGAATCGATCTATCATTTTCTCAACTAGTGCATTTTCTGTCGGTTTTGGTAAATTCTCTTGAGACATACAACACATTTCTGAGTAAAAATGAATGGTTGAAGGCTCGACAAGCAAAGTCTTCTTGAGGTCATAAAACTACTTAAAATCAGGATGGAGAGCTTGTCACGATCTTAAAGACGCAGTGTCCTCCCTTCGCTCCTAATACAATTTTTTTGTGTCTTGCAGCCGATCGGCGTGCCCAGTTCGAGAAGTTGGTATACACAGATGCTGACTACGCTGAAGAACTTCGACACATTGAAGAGGTATGTTAGAATGAAGTCTCTGTGGTGACCAAAACGCGATGCTCCTTTCGTTGGAAAGTGTACTTGATGTTTGAAAGCTGTGGTGGCTGCTAATTACCTTTTTATGTGGTCATGTGCATCAGGTGTTTACACCTCTAGTAGAAAAATGCAAGAAGTATGGAAGGGCTATGCGCATAGGCACAAACCACGGGAGTCTGTCCGATCGCATCATGAGCTATCACGGCGACTCACCAAGAGGCATGGTTAGATCCGTTGGCCTATTAAATAGATTCCGGTCAATATTTACTTATGCAGCGAGGACAGTGAATATGAGAGGTCTGGAAATTTAGAACTTTCTTTTGGTAAAATTGAGGTTATCGAGATACAAATCATCCTTGATCTCAGAAATCATCTGTGCTTCCTCGTTTGCAACGCTGCTATCAGCTGAATTCATTCTTATTGATTCCCCAAGTTTGGCTTTGACAGGTAGAGTCTGCCTTTCAGTTTGCACGAATTTGCCGCAAAAATGACTTCCACAACTTCGTGTTTTCAATGAAAGCAAGCAATTCGGTCGTAATGGTTCAAGCATATCGGCTTCTAGTATTTGAGATGTATGTGAACGACTGGGACTACCCATTGCACCTTGGTGTCACTGAGGCTGGAGAAGGGGAAGATGGTCGTATGAAGTCAGCAATCGGTATTGGTGCTTTACTCCAGGTTCAACTCTCATTTTTGGGGTTACATTCCTGCTTGCCATTTTAATATTCTGCAGCTTTAACCTAATGACCACCCATCGCTTTTGCTCGCTGCAATCAACATGATTTTTCAAGCTTCTCTCAGCTGGTTCTCAGCAATCTTTTGAAGGTGCGGCTTTTGCTGGCATATGGGTTTTTGCAGGACGGTCTTGGTGACACTATTCGCGTTTCATTAACGGAAGCTCCAGAAGAGGAGATCGATCCTTGCTCAAAACTTGCAAATCTTGGCATGAAGATCTCAGCAAAACAGAAAGGGCTGGTGGGTCAATGTGACATTACCTTCAGATGCGCTCGAAGATTTGGACTGATTGGCGAGCCCGATTTCTCTCGGGGCTATCTCAGTCATTTCATTCTGCATTCCTTTGCTTAAGTCATGTTAGTTCATGAGAATTGAATCGTGATCTTTTTGCAAGGTAACCTCAATATTTTAATTTAAAGTAGTGTTATGTACAAGAAAATCAAAAATTTCTTGGCCGGGGAATGTATTTGCCTGATTTTATTTACACTGTCGTATTGTTCAGCCTGAATTTCAAGAGAACCACCGTCGATACTTTGACTTTGAGAGACGTACTGGCCAACTTCCATTACAAAAGGAGGTTAGTGAAGGGCTGGTCAATTTTAAAAGACTGGTTCCTAGTGTTGGCAAGAAACATTCGTAATCGGTTAATGAGGACGCTGTGTGCGAGATGTGCATAATTTTGTCAGCTCCCTGGCATTGAATTCGAATCAGCTTTGCTCAAACGATTTTGAATCTCGTTTCTCTTGGGTGTTGCATAATTTATTTGTTCAATTTTTTTAAAAAATGTGATGATTTGTCAGTTTATGCACATTTTTTTGTTTTGTTTAGATTTTATTTTATCTTGAAATATTTCTTTCTTTTATTTTATTTTTTATAAATCTTCTACTGTTTTTCTTAGAAAGAAATACGACAAGTGGAGTGTGAAAATCTTTCCATTCGTAACTCAGTACTCTTCCTGTTTTACCTCATTTTACATCAAGTTAATGATCTGATAATGGACAGGGGGATCTGGTAGACGTCAGGAATGTTCTGCACCGTGATGGCTCTGTTTTGATGTCAGTCACGCTTGATCAGTTGAAGGTAAGTTGATTTCTTGGATTTGCAATGTCTAGTTTGTTGGTGAGAGTGTCAATCATTTTTACTCTAGAGATATCATTGGGCAATCCAACTTGAAGGCCGACATTGATCTTGGTAGTGGAGAACCATGGAAATTTCTAGAATTTGAGTATGTCTCATCCTTTGTGGATGGTTTTCTCATGGATCTTTGTGTTCTTACCCTTGCGGTTGTTTGCCCGTATGCAGAATCCTGAGGCTTTGTACAGAAATTTGGCCACGAAGTTGATCATGGGTATGCCTTATAAGGTGAAATGCAACAAATGCCTACCCATCAACTATGACTATGTTTTCTATTCCCATTCGAGTGGAGTTAAGCTTTAAGTTAATCTCGTCCTTTACGTCAGTGTTTACAGTGAGAACTAAAAAGTGGTTATTGAACCTAATATTGTGACCCTTGCCCCACCCAGAATTTACAAGTTGTTTCCAGTGCTCCATAGACATAATACAATGATTGCTTCGTCCTCTTCTGTTTATCTAAGTGTGTTGCTTTCATTTTTAGTGGTTAAGCTGCAGTTAAAGTGATAATGATAAGTGATATTTATTAATAATCAGCAAGAATGATTTGTCCGTTATTCTTGAGTAACTAGGAACTAGTGAGGTTTAGAGGGCTAGTTCAATGCTAGTCACGTATAGTTAGCGAGGTTGTACTTCTGATCGTTTTCTTTGATCTAAGCAGTATAATATGTTAGCATAGACCGGCTGAAGTTTGATGTTGAGAGCTTATGGGCTGTCAGATTCGTGTATCACATTCTTTTTGGAATTGCAATGCATACTGAAACAAATTACTTATCACTTGGGCGCAGGATTTGGCCACTGTGGATACCATATTCTTAAATAAGCTGCCAGCTGCTGAAGATAGGGCATCGGTTAGTGGCGCAAGTTTACATTTAGGATCGTTATACAGCATATGTTGAGACAGCTCAATAACCGTTAATGTTGGCATTGACGCTGATTTGTTGCTAATTCAACTCTTTGATATTACATCCTTTAATCTGCTCGATGGTCTTTCCCTTATGCAGAGACTTGCAGTGAAGAGATTGACAGACGTTGGTATAGGAGTGCTGACTCCTGTAGCTGAGCAGCTTGTGAACTCACTTCCACATGCAATGGCCCTCGCTACTCTTGATGAAATCGCTTCTGGAACCCATAAGGAACTGCCCACAGGTAGCCACTAGGTTTTTGTCCAGCTTTATAGTTAAATGCTCGAGATTAATGGCAAGCTCAGTGACAAGAATAAATATCACAGTTCAAAAATTGCATGTTTTTTTGCTAACACATTCATTTATATTTCCAGGCATTCGTTTAGCGGTTACTCTTCGTGGAGATGAACCAGAAGAGAAACTTGAGATGCTGAAGGATCTGGATCTCATTATGTTGTTACAATATCTACCAGAAGGCGATGAAAAATCTAGCCATGTACATGCCTCTCGAAAGTAGGTTTCAGCTCCAGGTTAAATCATGAGATACTTCACATTTGGTTGTTTTCTGATATGTGCTTATGTACAAACGAAAGTACCTGTGCAAGGAACTTGTTTAGAGTTTGAAATTGGGGAGCCGTCAGCACCCAGTATTTTGACGATGGCGGTATAAGTTTTGGATTACTTGTGAATTTGCCAGATGTATTTCAGCATCTTTTTTTTGTGAATCTTTGCAGATTGTTTGAATATCTCCAAACAAATAAACTAGACTTTCCAGTTATTCATCATCTTAAATTCCCAGCAAACACGCACAGGTAATCCTTATTTGATTTTTACATGCGAGAATTAACTCTTAAATGCTAGTGGTGTCCTAAGAGATCTTTGAAAACAATGGGAATCGAAATCTGGGGCGTTCATGGGTTTACTGGAAGCTTCTTTTTTAATGACGGATAACAGTAAAAAGAAGTGCGTTTTTTTAGGTCTAGATTGCATTTTCAGAATTCGCTATAAATATTTGAGGTTTGCATCTGCAAATTCCGCTCCTCAAATAATCGTACGCTCTACAGAGATGATCTAGTTATTAAAGCAGGCAGTGAAGCTGGCGCTATGCTTGTCGATGGTCTTGGGGATGGAATCATGTTGGAGGCTGCCGATCAGGACTTCGACTTTATAAGAAACACATCATTTGGCATGCTTCAGGGATGCCGGATGCGGCATACAAAGACAGTAAGTTTCTCTAAGCTTTTGCTCAAGTAGTTATTAACCTGAATGACAAGCGCTGATGCTCTTGTCTTCGGTATTCCATATTTCAGTATTATTGGGTTCACCTAAGCACTCAATCTATAAGCCGCACTTTATGAAGCTAGTGGTTCTTGTGTCTTCTGAGTGAAGGATTTACCTGATACTGCGTCTTTAGATTGCAGTAAGAGTTTCATTGCTAGATCCTTAGTGATGTGCTTTTCTGTTGTACCAGGAATATGTGTCTTGTCCATCTTGTGGAAGAACGCTCTTCGATCTCCAGGAGATCAGCGCAGAAATCAGAGAGAAGACAGACCACTTACCAGGTGTATCGGTAAGTGAAATTCAAGGGGACTCTTTCAAATTTATGAATATGAAATTTTTAGCATTTTTAACATTATAATTTTGATGGCTGTGGAGTTTGGGTTTTATTCTTTAGGGTGATAATTGTTGCGATTGTGAGGTCTGAATCAATGGTAATCTTAGCGTTGGGAACCGGCCTTTGTCCTAAAATCCTGAACTAGTACTCATAACGTTGTTCTTTTTGCAGATTGCTATTATGGGTTGCATCGTGAATGGACCTGGAGAAATGGCTGATGCTGACTTTGGGTATGTGGGTGGCGCTCCGGGAAAAATTGACCTCTATGTCGGCAAGGTATGTTGCTCCTGTTCCACGATTCACTGCATGCGCTTTAAATGAAACTCTTGCTAAAGCCAGTACGACCAACCTAGTTTGAGCTCATATTTACACAAGTGGTTTTCATCTACAGGAAGTGGTAAGAAGAGGGATCGCCATGGCAATGGCCACCAATGAGCTCATTGGTCTCATCAAGGAGCACGGCCGTTGGGTAGACCCCGAACCAACTGAAACCTAGGGGAGGAAAGTATGAAGAATGCGACTAAGGGTGGACCTCACATACTTTTAAAGACGGTCATTAGGATCCAAAATCACGCAACTGTATTTCAACGTTCGTATTGAAAACCTCATTCTAGATTCCAATTGAAACCTTACTATTGCCTACTGGTACGTCATGAAGCTCAACGTCAATTACAAGGAAAGCGGGTGCTGCTCTGTGGATTGTAATTGTCTCCTTCAATATACACTACAAAAGCCTCCACTTGTTTTTCCACGACTCGAGGATCCACAGACAGGTCACAATTATAAAACGTCATAAATCTCATTAATTTTTTTTCAACATGTTTATAAGGTATCTTTTACAATAATAACAATAAAAACATATAACAGATCTAAACCCAACAATGTTGGATTACTTTACTTTATGTTTATTGTGTGAAAAATTGGATTTTCAACAGTTAATGGGACAATATGATTGTTAAAGTAGATGCAGTATAGTCACACTACAAATAATGACGTTTTTTTTCCTTCTACTTAAAGCTTTTAGGTGTTGGTTCCTTTATCCACATTGCCACGTCAACCTGCCACGTCAACCATGCCACATAATCACCATTCGCGTGACGGATGGCGCAGCCCTTGGAAGTCTCTGGAACAGAGATTCTCTGTCTAGAATAGTCTCGGAGGTCTACTCTAGAATCCTCCACAACGATCTTCGTTGTTCCGGAGAGCCGTTCTACACACTTCGGTCTCATTCTCCTCCTCCTTCATGACTGTCTTGCCTCTGTCTTGCCTACATAACACATGCTTGCCTCTGTTGCGTCCAACTATACTCGTAGCAATTGCACATTAGTACTTTCCGAGGTGTAAGAGCTAACGTAGAACCTGTGCACACTTTCCTTGACTGCATCGATAGGGCTCGCATTTGTATTGGAGAGGTAACATTGGTGGTATTGAATTAGAGTTTGTCGCGCTTTGTAGTGAGGTCGGTGTGCTTGCGGAATAGAGGTAGGCATGGCGCTTTCGTTGTTCGGTGGTCGTGGCAACAGCGTGTTTGATCCCTTCGATTTCGGCAGCGCATGGGATCCTTTTCAGTCTCTGCTAGGATCTGCGCCGTCTTTGCAATTTGCACGAGATGCACACAGCATGGCCAGCACTCAGATTGATTGGCGTGAGACACCAGAGGCGCATATCTTCAAGGCCGATCTGCCCGGGCTGAGGAAAGAGGAGGTGCACGTGCAGGTTCTGGATGGGAAGGTATTGGAGATCAGTGGGGAGAGGAAGAAGGAGGAGGTGCAGAGGGGTGATACCTGGCATCGTGTAGAACGCAGCAGCGGCAGTTTCTTGCGGCGTTTCCGGCTCCCGGATAACGCGAATGTGGACGTGGTGAACGCGCAGGTGCAGGATGGAGTGCTGACGGTGACAGTACCAAAGGTTGAGAAGCCGAAGCCACAAGTGCGACAGATTCAAATCGCTTGAGTTTTGTGAAAGAATTCACTCACGTAGTGGTACACTGGAGCGCATGAGGCAATGAAAGTTTGGGATGCTATCAAGTGGAATGAGGACTGCAGCTTACATGGTTTGTATTGGAGAGTTACACAAAGTAGGCTGTTGATTTTCATGCTTCCCTGATTGAGATGATACATTTGTATAGAACGATTTAGGTGTAAATAAATCCCGAACTTGTTGCCTCATTTCTTGTTATTTCGGGAGTTTGTCTAATGTGAAGATTGATCTTGAGAATTTCCCACTTAGATCAATAGGCAAGATTCAAAAGGATGATTAATTTGTCATGAAACCGTCTCAGTGATGTGCTACCTCTTCAGTATGTCATGAGATACCACTGAAGAATTTTGAGATGCTTATGACCGAAAAAAAAATAGAATGACATTTAATGACACGAGTAAGGTCTGGAACTTTGAACAGGTCATTGTCTTTTTTCGTGTTTTTGTAGTATATAGTCATATCAAGTTGCTCAATCGTGACACATATACATTTATATAATTGCTATGTAAATAAGCCTGAGGAAGAAGGAAAAATTAAGAACATGTTGAAACATAGAGACTGGATGTGTTAATGTTGAAAACTCTTGAGGCAAATTGAAAATAAATAAATAAAATGATTTTTGCTGAACTTCTGAAAAATTCCTCTCAGACCGTTCCTACTGAGCTAATGAAGGAAAAAATTGTTGGACGTTGAAATATTTAAATTAGACTTGAAATTAATCAAATATTTTTTACATTCTCAAACATTGTGGTTGGAAAGGAAAAATATTCATAGAATAATGTTTTCATAAAAAATCTTCATAATAATATTGAATTGTGCATTGAACATTTTGTAACATAAATTACACAACCAAGAAGATAAAAAATTTAAGCCAAAATACACAATCGGCATCGAATTCAACCATCTGTTGTCTGGTTCCGACGAACGAACGTCCCAGACGGAAACCATCGTTGAAGAATGAACGAGAAAGAAGTCCCACGATCCACTGTTTACGGTTGTGACGAAGGGAATGGATGCTTCAGAGTTTTAACGCGATTCCGGAGCAGGTCCTCATTTATCACGTCCTCACGTCTCGGTGCTGCACAGAATTATTATTATGGTCGATTCTCGGAACCTTTGCAGGAGTATTCGTGCTTGTGTTTGCCGTTTTAGAGATTTGCATCGCATTAGGGTTCACATTCTGTACTCCTCATGACACATGAAGGTTCCCGAAGCCTGCTTTATCTCATGGAGCTAGACTGCATCTGAAACATCGAGAATCGGTTGTTACAGCAGGTTATTTGGCGAGGACCGTTCCTAAGGGTGCGAAATCGTTGCATGTATGGTCTATGAACGAGTCTCCATTGGAATCATTGAAGCTCGGATAGAGACATTTGCTATTGAGCGTGGCGTCGTAAATCATGGTGCATAACGACCACGAACGTCTACAAAGAATGATAGATGAAATATGTTGTTGTATAATACATGTTGAAGACGGGAAGTGAAAGAGCGGTGAGATTGGTAGCAGGAACTCAGACCTCTCGAAAGATCGACTGATGATCCTTTCAAACGTACTCATCCCCGAGTTACAGGTTTGGTCCAGTTTAGAAAAGGATGTTGCTACAAACGTGTCGTTGCTAATGCCTGTCTTCCTTCGAAGCAAGCAAATGAGAAAGAAGAGCTGCAACATCTCAAGTCTTGCGCATGTGGAATCGAACCTCCGCTACAAGTGCATCACCTGAGTGCTGGATGGTTTACTCCATTTTGAATGATGTGCTGAATTCGTGGATGCATTTAAGGGTACTCGAAATAAACACTGATTTGTTCATCATTATCGCTGAGATCCTTTAGAGCACCTACGTTCGGGCGAAGCAATGGCGGAGTCCAAAGCAGATGGGGATGAGGACCATGAAGAGCCAGAGGTGCTTACGGAGGAAGAGAAGATGGCCAATATTCGTGCCGTTCGCTTTACAGTAATTCCGAAGTATGCGGAAATATTACAAGAGGCATATCCACTGTTTGTCAGAAAAGGAGCAAAGGAGAAGACTCAGATTCATGAAAGGTAAGCTTGTCGACAACCTGCCCCTTCCGAACTCAGTCTAGGTTCAAAAGCCCACCCATACAACTGCTGTATAATTCGAACAAATATGGATGCACCAATGTCATGGCACTGTGTTTCGTGCAATTTAATTGCGCATGTCGATTTCTGTCGTAGTGTTCAATCGAAAAGCTGAATATATCAGTGACAAGCGACATCACGCGAGCGTAGCAAACATATGTAACCTGAATTAATTTTTAGCCGCCGAGGCTCTAAATTTATCGCTTGAAAAATCGTGCCAAAGCTCGGACAGATCATTTAAGGACATGTACGTGCACTGTTCTATCGTGCTGCAGCCAGATCCCTCATCTGATGCGCTCATTAGCTTTCAATCCCAGTGAAGAACAGATTGAGCGTCTCATTGCTAATGTAAGCTGTTCAAATTAGTTCAATCAACAATTAGTGCAAATATTCTTTCTACGTGATAAGCAAATTTTCATTCAGATGCATTGCAAAAACTCTGCGGCTTTTGTTGAAATCTCCACACAACAGAGGTTCGTTTGTGCGCTCACTTGCAGGCTAAATACAAGGAAAAGCCTTTAACACAAAAGCAACATTATGAATACGACAATTTTGAGCAGCGGATGATGGAATTTTTATTTAACGAGCCTGAAGCTTTCCAACGCAAATCAGAAAGCGAAGTTTTGGAAGCACTGTTGGTGAGTTTACATGGCAATGAATCTAAAGCAAACAAATTGCAAATGTACAATGTGTCTAATTGCAGAAAGTACATTGTCATCCTAGACTATTACGAAGCCTCCTTTCCATGTAAGCTTTTCCCAAACAGTGGGCAAAAACTTCCCCGGTTCACAAATACTACTGACTCATTGCGAATGCAGACGATAAGCAAGGGGCGGAAGGAGATGGACGCCGAAGAGCTCAAAGTAAGTGATTGAGTGATTGGTTTTGGTGCTAACATTGAATTGCGTAATTCGATCCTTATCATTTCATGAAAGGGCGGATTTAATCTCTTTGAAACTATTCTTACAAGAATACCATAGACTAAGGGTATTTTATCTTATGAGAAGCAGGTTTGATTCCTAGTTGTGAATTATCAGAATTTATATGGTTGACAACATTATTGATTTGGCACAATAGCTAGTGAACAATCGCATCATAGCATCAACATCACAATCCCATCGTTTTTTTTTTTTTTTTTTTTGGTTACTGACCATCAGACTATAATGAAGACTCGAGGAACCCACCCTTTCACTGAAGAAGAAGCAACAAACATGCTGCGAATAGCTAGAGACAAAGATACTGGAAAAGTGTATTTGGAAGAATACTGCAAAATTCTGGCTTTTGATGGTTTGCCCCCTCCTATAGATCCCCTTGAACCCATCGATGAACGTTTCCGATAGTTGCAAACTTAGATTATCAACAGACGCATGCTATAGTTATGAAAATCAATTGTTTACAACTGTATTTAGTGCTGACAAAATTGATAAGCTCTGTTCAGTACATGTAACTCATGGTTTAACTCTTCAGTAAACTAATTTTCTAGGTGTAACATCCTTTTAGAAGTCCGTTTTTTAACATGCAGAACACTTACTGTTGGACGCGAAATTTTCAACTTCAAATATGATATTGAAGTTACAGCACACTACTTTTCTGATCGCATTCTAACGGTGGGTTTGCTTGCTTGTACGTTGCCTCCATGCACTTAAGTACTGGTGTAGTGGAACCTGGCGATATTGTTGCCTTCCCAGCTTACATAGGTTCAGTTATTTAGCTTGGAGGCGCTGAACCTTCTCAAAAGGTAATCCCACAGACCTGATCCTGGTTTTGAGAGGGCAGTCTGGTGCTGCTTAAAGCTGTATTCATAGTAATTGTAAGAGAGTTCTTTGGGGTGTTAGATGTTATTAAGTGCATGCAGAAACTTGGCAATGTGCAATACGGTTGATGCATAAATGTTAAATGAAACAATCGTCAAAGAAAAAGGAATGAGAAGGCCTTGGTCAAATCAACTATGTTACATTCTACTTGGAGTTATATGTAATCTATAACTATTTGTCTGTATGACTAATTTTTTTTTTATTGAAATCAAATGATATTTTCACGAGTTAAGCATTTTACTATTACTTTTTTGATCACCACCTTTCATTACAAATTTCTTGAAGAAATAATTGATGAAAATTTCAATTTTAGAATTATATGCAATAAGATTGAACAATAATTCATAATGTTGATGACTGTATATATATACACACACGGTAAAAAAACATTAAAATTTTATTTTACATACCTTAATCATAAAATTTTACTTCTAAAGTCATTTATATTTTTAAAGTATATAAAAGTAAAAATACAAGAACTAATTTGGAAATAAATGTTTTATAGTTCATGTTTTAAAACAAAAAATTAAAACGTAAATTTTTGTAAATATAAAATAAACTCATACTTTACAATTGACATAAAAGTAAAATCTGTAATTGCAAATTGCACTAAAAATATGTGTATTAAAAAAATACATGGAATACATATACACAAACATCTAAGCATCAGTAGGCATATGGAAGAGAAATCAGAATAGTGAATAAATTTCGGGAAATATTCAGAGATAGGGAGTGGATCACACATACATTCTTTAAAATAAAAATAAAAAATGTAATAAATAACACTTAAGAATCTCTTGGCCCAAGGGATTTAACGTAGTCACCACCCAAATTATGTTTATAGCCAGGTCAGCAGAGGGAGAGAGAGAGAGAGAGAGAGAGAGAGAGAGCAATAAATATATATATATATATATATATATGTGTGTGTGTGTGTGTCAAAAAGAATTTTTTGAAAAAGTTTTACCTTATCCTCCGACTACACAAATCACCAGCACCACTAACAACACCATACGCAACCCCGTAGGATTTTTCATTCTACCCATTCCCCTCCTTCAATACCCCTATTTTACAAATTTGGTTGAATACATTAGTAATACTATATGCTCCAATATTTTCACTTATATTTTCAAGCATGCTGAAGCACGGTTCTGTTTCCAGCAATCCTGGCTACATCTTGCATTCGCCGTTTCGATGCCTCCCCCTTGCCTCACCTTAAACGTTTCCATCGGCGCGGTTGTTTTCGGGAGCTTTAAGCACCATCTTTGTGTGTGAATTGTAGGGGAACGTCATGACCTAAAGGTGGGTGTGTACTATGCCCAGAGTTCCAGTGCGTCGCGAGGGTTTTAGCTCATTGGAACCCTAAGCGGGGCATGAGTTGGAGAGGGTGCAAGTGATGTATCAGATTCGACGGGTGGACTTATTACTATGTCGTGAGCTATTTGAGTGATTGAGTTTGCTGCGATAGCTTTGCGGTGGTTCGCGCAGGACTAGAGGATGAGCGACGATGATCAATTTTGTAGTTTTGGGAGAGGAGCACTGACTGTTTTGGAGTCGATGCGGAGCCTGAGAATTAGCTTTGGATTTCGTTCGGACATGAGGAGGGCTGTGACACAGTTTCGCCTTCGATTTCTATAGTTCTGTCACACTGAACCAGTTCTGCTCTTTTTGCCTGCAATTACAAGTCGTTGAGGAAGAGTTTACAGCAAATGATTGTGGAGTTTCCAGTTGATCTCTCGCATTGTGAACCATCCTTTCATTAGAATCAACTCGGAATGGAAGTACTCATAGGCTGATTTGTGTCGGAAGGGTTTTAAGTACATGTGATGCTGAAGTAGATTAACTGGTTGAGGAGGAAAGCATCCGGACGCGGATAATTGTCAGAGTCTGCGAGAAAGAGAGAGATTGATACATTGTACAAACCTAGTTCATTTAGAGATTTATGATCGTGCCGAGTGCGGTGGGCCGCATCTGTGAAAGAGGAAAATCTTTGGGTCCTGTCAATTTTCGGTGGATGCTTCGCGACTCGTGAACCGACGCTTGGTGATTAATTTTCTGGGGCATGAAATTTTAGTTCCGTTTTGTGGAATAGATCAACTAACCATTTTGCTGTGTCTGGGCATCAGACCCTGGAAATTTAAACCTACATTTGAGCCGAGATTTGCGTTTGAGTGGGCACAATGGCGACGAATCGAAGCAATCGGTCGCAGGACGAAACGCGGGTCAAAATAGAGCAGTACGAAACATTTGTGGACAAGCGTCTGAAACCGGACCTGGTCACCGCGATCGGCCTGCGAGACAAAGTCCTGGAGCAGCAGAAAGTGTACTCCGACCTTGCCAAGAATATAATACTGTTACAGGAGCAGAAATTGACCAAGCTGAGGACGATGATCAATTTGGGGTCTGAGCTTTATGGGCAAGCCGAGGTGCCCGATGCCACGCGCATTTTCGTAAATATAGGTCTAGGATTCCACGCTGAGTTCACTTTGGACGAGGCACTAGGATTTATAGTTGAAAAGGATAAAATGCTTAGTAAGCAGGTGGAGGAGCACACAGCCCAGGTTGCAAATATCAAAGCTCAGATCAAGCTTGTTGTTGAAGGAATTCGAGAATTGATGAACATGGCAAGCTGAGTTTGGTTTTGCGTTCTTCGCTACTTGTTCTTCCTGTACTAGAGCGTCCTCGCCAATTCGCATCCAGAAGAGACTTTTCACCGTCATCCGTTGAAATTACAGAAGCTCGAATGTATGTGCATTGTTGGATGGCTATTTTCTGCCGCAGAACTGAACACAAAGTGTGCCAAACAAATGTTGGAGACTGATATTTGTCATTACAACTCCTGCAGGATGAATTTGTTGTATATTCACTAATCTGAACTTCGTGGGGTACAATGTTTTGATCGTGTAGCTACTTACTAATTTTTTTCCATCTCTAAATCATCAAAATTACTTAACGATCGCCGTGATCGTTCTCGAATGCAAGTAGATCGAAGGGTCGGTAATTTTTCTACATAATGTCCGACCAGTGTACACGCTGCCGAGGAAAAAATGTATCTAAACATCCCGGAGGCTATAAAGAGGAGCACTACTAAGCAAGTGTTGGGAGAGCCCATAATGGAGGACTGAACTAGGAACTCGGTGGATTGAAACATACACACTTGCTTAATAATGTTACTGTTGATCTAAAATTGCAAAAAGAGTGAAAGACATGAAATCAGGAAGTGTGTACAGAAGATGATTTTGCTCATCGTTACGTAAGTTGAAGAAGATTCAGGAGAAGGGGCTGGTCCTTCGGATTTCCTAGAAATCTGAGCTGGAGTGAGAACTGCATGCGCAGTCACTGCACTACAACCTCCTTGGGTAGAGCTAGCCTGCAATTTTAGAAGATGAATTTTGAGACTTGCTCATGCCAACTTCAATTGTAATAGCAGCACAAAGAATCAAGTTCAAGACAACTGCATTGTTTCACGAGTTCGAAAGTTAACAAAAACCTAATTGTGTTCCGTTGCAATTCATGGGGGCAAGGGCACACGTGAATACACAAAACTATACTGGAGACTTAAAAACGACGAGGTTGTTTATGACGTATTACACTTACCTGACACTGATGGATATCATTACAACCACAATGATGCTGTCCATTCAATTTGTTTATAGCAGAAAACACGCCTCCAGCCGTGCTTCTCTGAAATTGATAACAGAAATGTCCATCACTTCAACTGAATTCGTGCTGAATTACAATTCGATCGAGCGTGCAAATGTCATCCATAAATTTTGTAAACATGAAGACACCCAGGTTGCAGAAAGGTATTGGTACCTTATAGAAGTCCACCGCTAGAAAATTTGACCACCGGTTTCCAGCAGCGGTGTGACAAACAGAAATTGCTTCAGCAAGACTTGCGGAGTTGATTACACAAGCATCATCGATGTTGGGATCGTTGGGGAAATAATTTTCTAAAATTAGAGACTTGGTGGTATCCGTCAACGCAGCAGACTCCGCCCGATTTGAGCATGTTTCTGTCAATGTTCCGTCTGCAGCATTGACATTAGTACTTTTGTTGCAGGATTGAAGGCTTAGGAGACAGCTAATAAATTATTGCATTATGGAAATCTAATGTAAAGAACAAAGCGTTTCATCGTAGTTGGAATAGCTACCTCTACGCAAATACGCACAACTCCGGATAAATCAAGCCAGGCAATAGTCAATATCTCCCTTACATTGATTTTCGACGACAAAGTTCCATTGGTATGCGATACCCTCGGTGCCCTCCTTAGTTTTATCTGAGGTGAACACAATCAAGCGTTGATTGCTAGCAATCATAGAAGCGATAGTGGGCCAATCACTGCCGTCCCTCGGCATCAATGACAGTGGGAACATGTACTTCATCAACCCTGTAGATAAGAAATGGTTTTTTAGGACATTGGGGGTGGTAACGTAGTCCTCGATGAAGATCGTAACAACTTCATTCGGATTAGTGTCTAGGAACGACGCAACTTCCAGTAGAGTGCTATTGAGTGGCCGCTGATTCAAACGTAACAGAATGAAGATTCAGTGAAAGAACTTTCTCTGACGTGTCACACGTAGTGATATCACATGATTAGAAGTAAGAGCAAAGTCATATCAGAAGAACCATCTAATATCTCTCATTCTTAGAACCAGTCAGTGGCTTCCTGTCCCCCTCAGATGTGGATTCTGATTTCACATGAGATTAATATCTTTAATTCTTCGTCTCGAAGAACGAATTTAGATCTGCAATGTGACTCAACACTAGACTGTGTCGCCAATATTGGTTCTTTGCCCGTTTTGTCAAAACATCACGTTACTATGAGATTAACACTATCAGACCATTTGAAATTGACTTTCAAGGAACCCTGCGTGAACTCACAAAAGCAGTGGCGTCAAAGCATTGGCCGATTGAATGACAAAGCCATAAATCCCCTCTAAATTCGTAAACATCAAGCATGAGGCCTCTTACATTCCTCTGCAAGCGACAAATGAGAGGATGTTATTGGTAATATTTATCGAAATCACAAAGCTAAGCAGGATTTGGAGAAAATATGCTAAAAAGTTCTACGCTATAATTCTCACCGCAGATGTTACAAGTGTGATGCTCCAATTGCAGGACACGTTAGGTGCAATTTTGAGTGAAGAAAAATAGCAGAAATCAAAATTCAAAATTCAAAAACAAAATCAACAATTTTTCGGGTTTTGACACGAATACAGAGCTTACATTCAACTGACTGGTAACTGAGTCCTCTTGGTTCTTTGGAGAGATAATTGTTGTTCCCAGAATCGATTGTTCACCTTCAATTGCGTAAGCGTTGTGCGTTGTAATCCATGCATACTTGTTGTAAGGCAGAGAATATGTCTGAAATCCCACGAACGTGTGAACCATACATTGACGACATTCCCGCCCTTTCTAAGAGCAACGAAAGAACACAAACAGAACAGTAATAGCCGGGGGTAGGATTGAATAATTTCAGCGTTTTTCACATGAAGCGATTTTACAAGACAGTCGAACTCTGCACAGCTACAGATTCCGCCTTTTGCGTGACACAGAAGATTAAATGCACATGACTTTGAAATAAACAGTATATTGGATTCATTCTCACACGATTTATACAAATTAGGTGAGAAGGAGTACCTTTGGAAAGGAGGACACGGAAAGAGCCTGGTTCACAATGCAAACAGGTGCTGCTGTCTTGCATGCAAAGCAAGATAGACCTGGTCCACAGTCCGTATCTGTTGTGCAGACACTTGAGAGCTGCAGGGCAGGGAAATCTTAGCATGTACATTAGGAATCGAGGAACCATAGGAGCATTAGAGGATAGCACACATGTGCTAATCATGATGTCCTCAGTAGCCTTGCAGGTGTGATATATATATATTTACACACTAGGAGTCCATTTTTATGGAGTTCCTGCGCTTTCTAGACTTGTAGGCATTCTATGATATCTTTTTGGAATGCAGATTCATAAAGTTCTTTGGAGGATCTCAATATTGAATTTGAAGAAGTTTTGAGCGAATGATATTATGTCGCACTTTAGTTAAGTATAACTAAGCTTGATAAGGAAAGCAAATAAAATACACTTGGGCGTAGCGGGAGTAGAAAGACATCGTAAAATCATAAGTTGCACGCGACTAACTGCGAAGTTTGGGACTACAGATAACCAATGCCAATTAACCACTTATCCCAGAGGAGCAACAATCTGCAGGTTATGAAGTCACTTTCAGACCAAATTAATATTTTCATCTGCAACGTCTAAAATTTCTATCAACACAGGAGAGAATCGATGCAATCCTAAAAGTAAATGCGACTTTCTTTATAGACGTCGTTGTCATCACTTTCTGACCTGGGTTGAGTTCATAGATTCTTTCATCCGGGAGCAATGTAACCAAGTTTCTGAAGTACTCACCCCTCCAAGAGCGGCGACCTCCCCGAATAGTAAGGCTACCACAACCAGTGCCACAGCCAGATCCTCTTGCAGAGTCATAGTGCCTTACTCAGATGAAATATTTATTCGCCGACTAGTACTTATGACTAAGTACGACTATATTTCGGTATTATATATGTTGACGATTGCAGGAACGGGAATAAAGCTGAGATCGTCGCCACCAAGATCGCAAACATCAAATGCAGAATTATCTGAAAACATAAAAGCCAGTCGTCTTTTGATAGTAAAATATCGCCCGATCACAATGCTACACTCCAAAATATGTCCTCAAAGAAGAGGCGTCACAGAATTCAGAAAATGCACACTTCTTCCATATCCCAAGCCTTTCAATCAACGTCACGACACCATCACTACCAACTCCCGTTTCCATACTACCCTCGCTCACCAGTTCAATTCCTCCGAAACGTCATCACCAATGACTCAACCAGCAACACCAACAATCCACTGCCGGACCTCACGAAACTGACTTCTTACAATAATGTACACAATCGTCGGTTCCAGCAAGTGCTATTCCAACGTCGCCTCCCCGCTCGTCTACCACCGCTAATGTTCAGGCCACCTTCGAATGCGAACGAAGAAAAATCTTCATAGATACTAACGATCTCAGCATGTCACTGAACTCCTCAGTCAGCCAAACTTGAACGCATCGCCTCCTACCTTCCTTCCTTTCACACTCAGTTCTCCAATCCGCCAGACGAAATTCCATTATTAGACATACCTCACAGCCTTTTTCACTGGAACTCCAGCACACTCCATCTCACTTTTATCAACTAGCGCTGTATATGTCCTTTTTTCTTCTTCTTTATTTTATCATTTTCCTCGCTTCCTCGTCTTCGAGTCACATGAGAGTCCGTCCAACGGTTCTCTGCGAGAATGAGAGGAGAGTCAGTGGACAGAGCTCGCACAGTTCCGGGATGGTGAGACAGGGGCCTCTCTGATCGCCCTGCGCACAGACTGACTGGAGGTAGTGATGGTTGTGGAGACAGATCGCAGGTGCGCAATTACGGGCCGGGGGGGGGGGGGGGGGGGGGGGGGGGCAAAAACCCTTAACCTTTAATTTAACCCGGGGTTGGGGGGCCTCAAACCCTTTTCAAAAGGCCCCCTTTAAACTGGGGGGCGGAATTTTTTTTTTTTTTGGACCCGGGCCCCCCTTCCCAAAGAAAAAAATCCCCGAAAAAAGTGGAAAAAAAACCCCCCCCTTCCAATTAAAAAGGTTTTTTTTTTTTTTTTTTTTTTGGGGAAAATTCTTCTGGGGATGGTTTTTAAAATTTTGGGAAACCAAAAGGGTATTTGTTTGAAAAAACACACCTTTTCTAAAATTTTAAAAAATTTCCGGGGAAACCTTTTTTGGGTGTTTTTTTTTTTCTCATCAAAAAAAATAATAAAAAAACAATTCCCCAGTGGTTTTTGGAAAATTTTTTTTTTTTAAGGGGGGCACTTTCCTTTTTAAAAAATGTTTCCAAAATTGGAAGGACCTTGTTTTCCCCCATGAAAACCCCTCTCCACTTTTGGGGGCAAATTTTATAAATTGAAACCCTCCCTTTTAAAATTTTTTGGG